TAAATACATTTGAAAGCTGCCCTTAATGCCATTCCTTACTTCAGAACTAATTGATTCATTGTGTAAACATTCCTGACACACAAATACAATCAAGGGTCTTTTGCATGTCATCTGCCAACCAGACACAGGAGCTAATGTAAGAGCTGCTGTTTCTAGCCTCTGAGATAGATGGGGCTTTTCTGCATGACTCACCACTGCTTTTATTGTAGAGAATTTTTTTCTGTTCAAATTACTCTAACATGCAAACCTAGCATCACTATTTCAGAGTTTTAAAATAGATTGTTCTATTAAACAGAAAGTTAACTCCAGTATGCATCCAAAATGTAGAAAACGAAACAAAACCACAAAAATAATGTATCAGAGAAGCATCATAAAATGCTATTTCTACTTGGAGGAGCAAGCACCACATCTTCTGCCAAGCAGAAATGAAGCAGTTGCTTTCTCCTGCAAGCATTACCTCAGCCTCTTCTGGACAGATAGGCTTTTATCCATATCTCCATCTTCATGAGTCACTGTATAAACTGTTTGGCTGCCCTAAACTGGACTAAAGAGCAAGAAATACAAAGAGCAGGTGTCAGCACACAGTGGAAAGCACAGTCCTCAGCTCCACAGTCACCTTCCTAGAGGCACTGCCCCATAGAGGAGAACCAGAGTCTCTCCAGACAAGAGGGACAGAGCTGCTCAGACAGACCCTGCTACCACTTGTGGCTGAACCAAAAGCAGTCAAAGAATCCACCGTTCATCTTAGTTAAAAGAAGATCAGTAAATGACACTGGCCTGGGCAGCATCTGGAATGAACGATGTGGCAACAGTGAGTGAAGTGTTTCAGTTACTGTGCGGAAGAGATTTTCACCCAGCCTCTCCACCAGACACTCCAAAACCAGGTGATCTGAGATGAGTGAGGGACTGAGTGATTGTCAGTGATTGTGTCCCATCTCAAGTCACCAGGTCTTAAGTATTTCTAATGGCTTCACATCTTTCAAGAGATCTTAGTCATGCAATGATTGCATTGTTTGAACCAGTTTATTCTAGTCATGACAGGACACATCCCAATTTACATATTATTTTGTGTTCCCAGCTCCCTCATTAATGCTTAATGCCTCGATTCAGCCATCAATCCCCACTCAGCAGAACGATTCAGCTAAGTACATATTTAAATTTAAGCACATTCTTAAATGCTTTGCTGAATGAAGCAGTCTTACAAACATGCTGACATGCTTTGCGGAATTGGATTTTCCTACATACAAGAATTCACATGCTATAGGCACTTGGGAGAGGAGCCTTCCTCTTCCTCCTGTGTATTCATGTCCAAGTGCGTGGCTTGTGAAGGACAGAGCCGTTCTACAATGTTAAAGCATTGGATTTGTTTGATTCTTTCAAGTGATCTATTTCAAACTAAAGTTTAAAAGGTAACTATGACTGAAGATCTCTGCTCATAGTAAAGTGATCACATTTTGGTAATGCCTGATCATTGGCATTATTCAGATCTCAAAGGAAGGGAAAATGAGTAAACTTTTACACAGATGTAATTTTGTCCCTGGTAGGCCAGCTAGTAGAGATAAAGAAACTACAAACAAGCAAACAAACAAATGCCAAACTAATCGAGTGTACTGACACATTTCTCAGACTGGGATATTTGTCTTTGTTCAATGGGACTCCTACACCAACAGTGATCCTATTCTTTTAACTTTTTGTATGGAAAAGTTAATAATACGTTGCTCCAGGACTTTGGTTTGGTGGGTGTGAGGGAAGGATTCGTATTTTTGATTTTCCTTTTCAAGCTCTTTTACCCATTCCTTCCTACATGAGAATGAATGCAATTAATACCCTTCAGGCCTTTGCAGCTCTAGGAGAAACATACAATTTCCTATAGTCACATATGTTCCTTGCTGCTGCTAGTGGTGGAAGCTGTAGTAGATTCATTTGCTTTAATGACTGTTTCATACATACTTTTGCTTAAGTATTAAAAAATCATATAAAGCACTTGTTTTTAAAACTGTAAATATCTGAGAGATGTTAGCACTTGCCTTTACAAGACAGCTGTCACCAGCAAGAGCTCTTACATAATCTGTTTACCCTACAAGGCATCCAAATCTCCCAAGGTATCCAAATCTTCTCTTGAATATGGGATGGGGAAGCTGAGGGCAGACAGTAATCTGAACGGGCAATTTTGTGCTAAAGACACTCCTTACAACGTTTTGGAGATTACCTCAAAGTTTGGTTTAAATTTGTCCTAGTTATGGGAGAAAGTCAGAGGAAGGAACCTTTTAATCTGTTCAACCATACTCCTAATTTTATACCAAATCTTTTTTCAGTCAAAGTGCATGTTCATTATATACTCTGTAATTTTATGCAAGGAGTATGTCCATGACAGCAATAAAGAGCTTTGCAGCTTTCAGCTTATGCAAGAATAAAGACTTACTACAGCTTGACCTAATCTATATCCACCAGTCCTATCTGACTGGTTTAAGCTGAAGAAACTGATTTCAGGTTTTCAACCAAATTCTTCTAACAGCCTGGCATTTAAAGTCAGAATCTCCCTTTTCTCCCACTCACGTCCCCTTCTGCCAAAAAAAAAAAAAAAAAAAATCCCCCTTTTCCCCCCCCCCCCCCCCCTTCCCCAAAAAAAAAAAAAAAAAAAAAAAAAAAGCACATGTTAAAATTACCTGAGATGTAGAGGATGTAGAGAGTCATTTTTGGAAAAAATATGGGAAAGCCCTAATGAAATAAAAGTATGTCAAGACCTGAACAGCACACAGATCTGTCTATCTTCCTGAGCAGGAAAAATGCTGTGACCTAATTGATACCTCAAGCCATGGAGAGTAACTGGACAGGTTTTTTTGTGCAGCATTTGCTTCTTATCATAAAAACCTTTCTGAGTACGAGGTGTTGTCCAGGGACTTTCTGAGCTGTAAAATTTCCCTTATTTCAGTCTGTTACCACAGTAATATTCTATTTATCATTCTTCAGTTTTAGCTAAGTTGTAAGTGTTTTTGGGGATTTTTCCTGCTAAGGTGGTTTTGGCCCTAGGGAACTTCCCTGTGTAGAGTTTCAGACAGTCCCAAAATGTCAGTTGTTGGTCATGAACCTTGAGAACTAAGACCAGGACTCAGAAGCACATGCAAACACATAAGCAAGCCAACTGTTGGAAACTGGAGATGAGGTTTCCTCTTCCTTAGGTGCATGGAGTGGAGGGCACTGCTCTGAGTGCAGAATGGACAGGCACACCTGAACTGGCAGGAGTGTCCCAGGCAGCACCTACTGCCAGACCTGCTGCAGAAGCTCTGGGAGTACTTACATGGCAACACCGCAGCAGCCTTACAGCTGCTGCAGTAACCACCCTTAGTTCTTACAACAGCTACTTCAACCTGAGAAAGCTTTTGCTCTACAGTATTTGCAGGAGTATTTGCTCTCTAAATGCCCCACAGAGGAGGTCAGTAGACTGCAGACAAACAAAATCAAGACCAAAAACCGCAGTCACTGAGGGAAGCTTCCGCAATCAGCCATTAAGCACAGTTATTGATGGCAGACTGTACTGGTTACAATGCATATACTAACACTAACCTGGGTTTTTGGCTGACAGCATTTTCAAGGCTTTGGTTCAGGGGCCCTTGAGTGAACATCGTCTCCCCATGGGCTTCTCAACACAGCACGAGGCTTCACAGATTCAAAGCAATCTGTACCGTACATGACATCTGTGTGCACTGCTCCTCAAAAACAAGGTACATCAAGGGACCAGAAAACCAGTAACCTGCCACTTTAAATTCCCTTTCCTGGTGTCGTGCTCCCTACCCCCGCTTTAATATTGCTGTCTACCAACGTGTTGGCTTTGGTCATATTGTCATAACGAAGGAAGCAAGCCAGTCTGTGTCACATATGGGGATTTCAGGAAGCTAATTAACAGGAGGGAGCTGTGGGAGTTTCTGAGAAGCTGAGCTCTGATGTAACCCAAAGCCGTGGACTAGTAAGCTTTTAGATGCTCCAGCCATACATAATTTATGTTTGTCAGTCACATGGCAGCAAGGCTCATTTTGCATAATGGATACTTGTGATGGAAAAGTGCTTACAGGGTTTCAGCAGAGCAGACAGACCTTTCATCTATGTGTATCAAAGAGAAATTAAACAATTATGGGAGTTTGCAGCATCCCTGTTGAAAACTCTGAAAGTCAGGCCTTAAAGATGTACAAAACCCTCTAGGACGGCACTTGTGATCACAGAATCATGGAATCATAGAATGGCCTGGTTGGAAGGGACCATAAAGATCACCGAGTCCCAACCTCCCCTGCCATGGGCAGTGACACCTTCCACCAGACCACGCTGCTCAAAGCCCCATCTGACCCGGCCTTGAACATTTCCAGGAACAGAGTACCCACAGCTTCTCAGGGCAACCTGGGCCAGTGCCTTGCACCCTCACAGCAAAGAATTTTTTCCTAACACATAATCTAAACCTATGCTTAGTTTGAAGCTATTCCCTCTTCTCCTGCCACTACATGATATTCAGAAGTACCGCTGCGCGATCGGCCATTCACACCGCTTTTCCATTCGGACAGAATTCCTTTTCTCGCCTGCAGTTCCTACAAAAAAACAAAAAACAAAACAAAACAAAAAAAAAGACAGAAATCAAAAAACCAAAAACAAGCAAACAAAACCCAACCCCCCCCCCCCCCCCAAAAAAAAACAAACCAAAAAACAAAAAACCAAAAACCACCCAAACCATCAGGCAGCAGAGCAGTGGGTGGGTGCCAGGAATGCCGCATGGCACCCGCCCTTCGCGCCGGGGCCGTGGCTCGCCCGAGCTCTCCGCAGGGCGCGGGCACCACTGCGGGGCCGTGCGGGGCCGTGCAGGGCCATTGGGGGCAGTGCGGGGCCCGGGGTGGGGCCGCGCGGGCGGGCGTTAGCGCCGTCCGTTAGGCACGGCCCCGGCACGCAGCGGCCCCGGCCCCACCATCGCGGTCCCAATGGACGACGCGGAGCCGCAGCCCGCCCCGGAGCCGGCCGACATGGCTTACTTCGGCCCCACCTCCCTCACCTACCTCCCCGTCCTGCAGTGGTGCGTGCTGTCCCTGTGCCCGCCCCCCGGACGGGCCGGGGCGCGGGATGGAGCGGGGAGGTGGCGCGGCGGTCTCTGCTCTCCCGTGAGGCTCGCAGGGTCTGCCTTGCCACAGGGAGTGGAGGAGTCCCGCTTTTAACTCTTCTCGCCGTTTCGTAGGGCAAGAGTGTGGTTTGCTGCAGAGGCCCCATCATCATGGTGATGCATTAACGATACCAAGCAAGCAGGGAAATTTCCCTGAAAGACCATCCCGTGCCACAAGCCTTAGTGATATGGAGGTGGCTTGACATGGGGGAAACGGGGCTTTGTCTCAGCCTGTGCACTGGCCGGGATGCAGCCCTGGCAGCCATCCCCTTGGTGTGATGCTGCAGGGCATCTCCCTGGAGGATCTCCCTGGCTCTACCACTGGTGCCTGGTGGGATCTTACAGCACACAGGTGGCTGCGAGCAGGTGGCACACTGGCACTCAGGGTGATGCTGGATGTTTGAGATTCTCCAAGGTTATTTTTTCCTGAGATGAAGGTCTAACACCTTAATGAGACACTTGGTGTAGTGGAGGAAGGTTGACACCATTGTTTTCTTGGGCTTTGAGAAGAGCATCCTCTGGCCTGTGACAGAGAAACCAGGGTTACTTTGCTTGTCTCCCCAAGCACAAATGAGTCCTGCTCATAAATAATGTTGAAGCTTTTGTGAAACAGTAACAACACGTACAAACTTTTAACTCATCAGCAAGTGGTCTTAAATAATTTTACTCCCCCCATCAGTCATACTGGAGCAGTGGGAGTTAGTCTTGTGTTTTCCCTGTGATATAGATACCACTGCTCCCATTTTGAAAGGACTGAAGAAAGAGATTCATACAAGGTCATTCATCCAACAGGTCTGAGACACAGCATAAAACTGTGTCTCATAAGCAGTCCTTGAAAGGATGAACTAATGATTCTTCTCGTCATGACAATCCTCTTTTCATGTTCTGAAAATTTTTGAATGTTCAGCTTCATTTTACAGTTGGTGCATTTCCAGTAGCAAACCAGATTTTGGTCTAGAAATGGTTTAACAGCAGACTTGCCAACCTGTATAATGGCCTGGCTGCTAAGGGCTCACACAGAATAGGTGGCAAACCCTAAATATTTGGAGTCTGTGTGAGGTCCTAAAATCAATCAGATAAAAACCCCTACACAGTGTGTGGATAGACAGTAGATGAATGGAGGAGGCCTTTCCCCCTGTGCTTTCACTTTAACCTCTAGCTTTCTCCCTTACCACACTTTCATTTTGATTTTTTTGTCTTTATTCACAGTTTTGTTTTGATGCATGCCATAAAAGCTCAGGTTTTGAAAACCTTGGGGCTAATAAGCAAGAAGAGGAGTGCTGTGCTCTTTTCTGTGTAGTTTGCTTTCCTGATAGAAATATTTTTGTATTATGTGTCAGCACTAAGAAGGTGTTTGACTTACTATTTGAAAAAGACTGGCAGCTTAATAGACAAAAAATTTACGAAATTGAATTCCCAAATACTTTGTCGCTAAGTAGTTAGATGCTGAGGAAAAACTATTGGCAGAAACCAGCTACTGGAGCATGAATTAATTTCTCATGCACTCCCAATGACTCTTGTGATGTTATATTAAGGATGAATTTGAACTTAAGGTTAATCTCCTCTGAGACTGCTCAATTGTGAAGAGTTTTGAGATGCTCTAGAAGAAAAAGCACTTCTGCCTGTTGGGAGGCAGAGCTCATCAGGATTCTTATGTAGAATGAATTTCATTTACCTTTTAGCCTGATGATGGGAAATACCCCATTAGAGCAGCAGATCCCCTGTCTTTGGGTGCAGGTTCCTGCTCAGGTCTGGACAGGAAGCCTTTGCTCTTGGATGGTGGGGCTGGAGGTGGTGAGGAGCTGGCAGGGAGCCCAGCACAGCCTCTTGGACTGTTGGGTGAGGAGATGGTCTTCAAGGAGGTATAGGTGAGGCATTTGGGGGTCCTCTGCTAGGCAGAAGGAATGCTGGGGGAAGCAGATAGCATTCTTCAATGGAAAGAGAGGAGGAGGCACAAATAACAGGGAGGTAAACATCATCAACTGCACAGAGACCATATTCTTGCTCAGTCTGTTCTAGCAAGCCAATTTGCCGCAGACCTTATCCAGTGCCTCCTGACAAAGCAACCAAGATAAACAACTGGGTTGCCTGAAGTCAGGGCACTAAAGCAGAGGATGCTGATTTGAAGTCCAGCTGGCTTATCACACCCAGTGGATTGAAAAGTCTGCTTTCCCAACCAACTCGATTGTCAGTAAAGACACAGTGAGTAACTGGCACTGTGCTGCACTGGCATTCAGCTGATAAATTAATTAAATATGCATAAATAATTTGGTAGAACGGAAACAGAGTCAGAGCAAGAAAGCCCCATGATATGAGCAGTGTGTCATGCTTTGAAGATTAATCCCTCTGCTCCTTTGATTCATCTTTGCTCTCGTATTTGCACCGTAGCCTATTATCTTATGACATCAAAACCATTGGCATTATTTTATAATTAAAGATCATTTTTTCCTGGTGAAGATAATATCTTAGGCTAATAAGTAACCAAGTTTACATTTCCCTCACCTTATTCACACAAGTAGTTGCATTTACTTGACTATGACCATTCTGATTAGTAGGATGAATCAGGGATTTGGCAAAAGGATGGATATTTAAACACCTAAGCCTGTTTCAGTCCTGGCAGTTCTGTTATATAGTAACTGTAAATTAAAACTCTGTTCTCCTATTAAACTTGTCCTAAAATCACAAAAACAGAATGTGGTCTATTATAGTTTGTGCACTCTGTCCCAAAACACCATATTTAATATTTTAGGTGGAAAAATTCTTGTATTATTATTTTTGGTATAGTGGATACCCTTCTATTTAGAAGACTGAAGTTAGATCCTTTGATATAACAACATTTTGCGTATGAGAAATTCTAATACTGTCTGTATTGGTGTTAATATTATAATGGCATTACTAAGCACTATTGTTTTAATTTAAAAATTATGAGAACTAGTTAATTTCTTAGCAGAATCTCACATCACCTCTCTTACATGTTGAAAGCAAGGAAAATAGGGCTTTAAAAGTTAAAAGTAAACAGAGAGTATACATGTGTGTATATATATATATATATATATATATATATAAATACATATATGAAAAAGTATATTGTTTCCCAGGATACAGAATAACACAAAGGAAGTAGCTCTTTTTGATTCTATGCTTCTATAAAATCAGAATGACTATTACAGAGCCCACAGTAAATCTGATGAACTATAAAAATCTGACTATTCTTTCTTCTAACTTTGACATAAACCATTGATGACTTTTGTTTTGAAGGCTAGCTGATAATTTCTATTTGTGTGGAGGATGCACTGTACCCTGTCGGCTGCTATATGAGCTGTATATTGAAACCTGCAATCCAGATTTCAAGATTCAAGTACATCCATCCACCTTTGGAAAGGTACAGAGTAGATAGGATATATAGGATAAGAAGTAGGGATGCCTAAAGAGAAAGCCTGATCATCAGCTTTACACACTGCATATCAAAAGACATTAAATAACAGAGAAGAATGAATATGTCATTAATTATGCTTGTGCATTTTCTAATGTATTTCTGCTAAGCCTTGGTGTAGATGCATTTGTACCAGAGGAAAGAGTATTGTTTGGCATGCAGTTTATTTTCTTCAGGGAGCTGGTGCGTGATACACTAGCAAAGATTTCTTTTGCCAGTATATTTTAGAAAGTTTTACAGTTTTCTTTTTTTAACAGCAGAAAATTATGCAGCTCATTCCAAGGAGATGACTCTTCTGTCTTTAAAAGATACCTTTGGTTGTTACACAATTTTATACTTTCCCTTTTCAGTATACTTGAGGAGATTTTGCTCCAAACATGCCCTAAAAAGTTGCTACAGAATCATCCATGCAAAACAAATGCAGATGTAGAACTGAATCTCCTTCTAACAGTTCCACTTTTCTATTACGTACAGGTTGATACAACCCATGGAAATATTGACACTTAGGAATCCAAATTGCAATCAACACCCATAGCTAGTCAACCTTTTTTAACTAATTAAGGAAGATATTGTGATTATTTCTTGTTCAAGACTTCTTACTCAGATTTCAGAACTTCCTATTTTATATGGGTAACTTTCTGTTAATTCCCACAGTAAGAGCTACTAAGCATTGTTTTAACACAAGCCCAAAATAATTTAAGTACAAGTTGTACCTGAAGTCAATTTCATTTGTATGGCTAACCCCATTCTATGAATCATTTATCTCAATTCAGTTGAATCTAATTTTTTTACTGGATAGGTTAAATCACTTTTGCTGAAAATTAATATTTGAGTGAGTGATCTGGTGTAATTTATTACCACAGCTTAATGGATCATCACCCATCAGCTAAGACCACGGGTAGAATTTGCCTGGCTCAGCATAGACATTGGCCATGAAGCTTGTCACCTTAAAAATCTCTAGGTAGCCACTGGAGAGAAATAAGTAGCTACACATTTCCTCAGACTAAGTGAGTCACCTCAGACAGCTCAGATGAACGGGGCCTCAGAACTGCCATTTGTGTTTCTCATTGACTGCGCAGTCTGCAGTGACTATCCCAGACTCCTCTGCCTTGTAGCCATGTGGATGAGATCAATCCCATCCTGCCTGTACCCTTCCAGTGCTCCAGCACAGCTGAGTTACCGCCTGTAAGCCAAGCCTTCATGTGGTTTACCTTAATGTGTTTGACTTTTAAGCTGGGACAGGCACAGATGAAGCGTGTCTGGTGACATGGAAGAGCTGACGAGCCAGAGCTGCTGTGGGCTGGTGCTTGCAACTGTTTGCTTACAGCCTCAACCAACCCAGGGCATTGCAGTGCAAGCTGGCACACCCCAAAGCAGCAAGCTGGGGTGCTTTGAAATGGTCTGGCCTTGTGCACCAAGAGAATGGACCTTGTAGCAAGAAGCCGAAGAGAGCAGGAACCACAGCAATCCTGGTTTAACCTGAGTGCATGTGTAATCACTGACCACAGCCTGTAATGGGCTGAGCTATTAATAATTTACCAAGCTGTAGTAACCTGACTGTGCTCCATGTGTGTGGACTGCAAGGGCTTTTGCAGTCCAGCCCCATGTGGGTCAAACTACGGTGGTTGAAGACACTACTAGTCTCATCTGCCCTGTCCCTCTGCCCAAATACATCACTGTCTCTGTAAGGAATAGCAGCGGGAGGAAGGATATGTCCTGTGCCACAAAAGTCCCAGTTTCATAGGCTGTCCTTTTAGAAAAATGGGGTTATACTATGCTATCAATTTGAGAAAGGGAGCAGCTGGGGTGGGTGCATGCAGAAACGTGCAATGAACAGGTCCATCATAAACCCTAGAGGTGCATGTTGATGAGTCCTTTACCAGGGCTTTGGGCCACCCACACACTGAGCAGAGTCCAAGCTCTGTGCTGCTGAGTGGAGACTCTCCTCACTCCTCGCTAACACGGAGTAAATCCTCTGCTCCTGCTATATTGGGAATATTGGAGTGTCCTGGGTTAGTCCTGGACCCAGGTGTCCTGAGTTAGTCTCAGGACAGCTCATGCAGAATAATCGTAGTGAAGTGGATTATAACCCTGACAGTATCTAATTACTCTGTAGAGCCCAGCCTTGACAGATGCTGCATGACCTCAGTTCACACCACCACAGTGGTCAAAAGGTTGCTTTGCAGCTTGATGATTCAGGTCCTTTTAAGACAGATAATCTGGCCCTATCCTGTCAGTACATCTTCCAAGAGTAAGTGGGTAGATGAAGCCCCTTGGGTAAGTCCTTCATAAATGAATAGGGCTTGAAGGTCTGGCAGAGCATGGGACCGTCAGGGCACCTTCAGGTTCCCCCAGCTGATTGATCTTGCCCTGGCTGCTGGGGATCTCTTGGTGTGAGCACTGTTTTCTAGTGCAAACTATAAAAATAATTCCTACCTGAGAGAGGTAATCCTTTAAATTATTTAGCCTTGGATCCACAAATGCCTGATTGAGTTTAGTTCAACAGTTACCATTTGAGAGGTATGTAAGAACAGGTATTAGCCTGGAAATTATGAAAAGCAAACAAAGTGATTAAAGACAAAAAAGCGTGCCAGATACATTTTTGCATCTTCTAATGAATTTACCAAGTATCTCTAATTTTCTGTTTATACAGCTTATTCAGTTAGTTTTCCCAGGCCTGGTGACAAGAAAGCGGACCACAGCAGGGAGCATCAGGTATTGGGTTTTTGTCCTTTCTTTGAAAATGTTACTTATAACTATTCTAATAAAAAATTTAAAGTGGGTGACTTTTCAGCCCCAACACTGTAATATGTCAGCTGAATTGTTGGTTGCAAGTATGTAACACAACCCAAGATCCAGAGTAATTCATGGTGTAACCAAGGACATTAAAATAGAGTTAATTCCATGAAAACCACCACATCAGATCTGTTTTGGTAAGGCATGATTTCCAGATTGGACTGCTTTTTAAAAGACCTCAGTGCTCCAATTTGTATTGGCTTTTTGTCCTTGCACACATCCATGGAGTGACCCAGCATATACTGATGGTCAATGGAAATACTGTACAGTTTCAAACCATTTAAATCAGACAACTTCAGGTCCTCCTCCTAAACGTCCTTTCTTTTCCCTTCCCTCTCTTCTGGAGCACAGAGAGTTTGATGCATTTTCATGTCCAAAGTTATACTCACATGCTGAACATCTAGACTAGGAAAAGGGATGTTTTAAGCTCATTGAAACTGAATAATTTTACAAGCATTTTGTGTAGCTGTCAAGTATGGGCTTTGAGAACAACATGCCTTGACTTGTTTCCACTAGTCTGGACTTGCTATCAGCTTGAGCTAGGAGATCCTTTATTTTGGGAGACACCCTGGGCTTCTGCTCACAGCAGGCAGGATTTGGGATGGTGTTTGGTGGCCTCCATGCTCTCTGTTCCCATCAGCAGAAGGTTCCCTGCTCCTCGCTGCCCCAAAGCATGGCACTGCTCCCCTTCTCCTGGTGGCCCAGCCTGGGAGGAGCCGGCTGGCAGCACCGTGTAGCAGAGATGGTGGCTCTGTTTCTCACTGAGCTCAGATAAATCTTACAGAAGGTCTGGCAGTTTCCTTGAGTTTTAGCTTGCCATGACACTGAGGGGCCATCCAGTCACTGAGCTACTGTAAATGGCTGAGGAACAGCTGCGCTAAGTCCTTCAACTTCCGCGGGGATGTGGGGACCTCTGTCTGCTCAGAGTCTGTTTCCTGACTTCACTAACTGTCCTGTACAAATCTGAGGCACTCCATTCACTGGCTTAAGTTTTATTTCATTTAGAAGAGGGTATCATTGCAGGACAAAAACTGTTAAAAGGAGTTTGTAAAAAGTTTGTGTAATTATTTTCTGTTTGGGAAAATAAACATTCAACAAAATTTAAAAAAACAAAAAAAACTTTTTCTACTTGATCTTTTCTTGGTTAAATAGAACGATCATCTGCTTTCAAAAGAGGATTATGAATTATTTGCCGACTTGTTGAAAATCATACAGTTAATATTTTTTTTATTTTCTAGATATCATTATGATGGAATAGCTATCAAGAAGGAGTCTTCCTTTTATGCACGTTTTTGCTGTCTTCTGTATGAACAAAATTATCTGAGGTTTGTTTTTTAAAATGTTTTAATCAAAAAATGTCACATGGCTGTCTATATGTTTTCTGTCCATGAAAATCTGTAAATCTTCTGTTGAACACTGACAGTAGCATTACATTTTTGTTCTCATTATAAACACTATGAAAGTGCTGTGCCATTAAATGCTGTGCCCTAATAGACAAGCTGCATTTTGGAAACAGACACTGCCTAATTAGACTTCCAAAAATTTGACATTTTAGCCACATCTTAAGAGCAGGAACTCATGCTGGACCTAAAAGAAGAGCTTAATATGTTAAGACCCTAAATGGGAGCTCAAAAAAAATCATTGAAATGGCATCTTGACATTCTATCACCTTCCTCATTAAACAGTAGGCTGGAGAAATGTGTTACAGTATAAATGACTGCGCTGTTTTGAAGAGTCCTACACACAATCTTGTTATCTGGGTTTTTGCTGCTTGAAACAGTATTTCAAAAATGCTTCAGTCACTTGGTTTTAAAATATCAGATTTTAAAATCACCTCTTGTCGAGAACATCAATTATAAAATGCATAAGACAAGTAAAAATGGATTGCAAAACTTAAAAGCGTAAAGTCCTAAAATGAATGTAAGATACTATGGTAGGTTAAAGGGTAGACAGGAGCATGTTGTGGGCAGGAGAGGAAGAATTCTCGTGGCTGAGCTCATGGTTCAGATAAACAAACCCAGGCTTGAACTTCTTCCCAAGGAAAGGAAAAAAAAAAAAAAAGGAAGAGAAATGTTTTACACTGCTTTACAGTGAAGAAAAAAATTAGGTACAGTCTGTGCCTTCGACTTTGAAGACCATGTTTGTATCCTCATTCTCTTACAGTCATATACATTACTTTAGTGTGTATATGGGTAAATTCTATAATTAGGTTTTCATCCTTTAATATGGAGATACAGCATTATTCTGTGGCATGAATGCTAGGGGCATACAAGTCCATATAAGGACCCAGATATCTGGTGATGCTGAAAGTGTTTCAGTGATATTTTGTATAATATTTACTTAATTGAGTGCATGCGTTGGAAGAACATGGAAAAATTATACCCATAGGTTTGTTGCCTTTCTTCACAGGTTTTATGGCAGGTAATGTTGCAGAAGTCCATAGAGGGACAAGGGTAAATGTTGAGACAGGACAGAGGATCAGGTTCTGCAGATGATCGACTGGCAGTCTGTGAGACTAAACAAATTATTAATAGGAAATTTGAGGCTGGTTTCCCATGTCACACTTATTGAAGGATATCCTTCACTTTCTCTGTACCCAGTATAACCAGAACAGGCCTAAGGTTTGACATCCACAATGAGAAAGGTCTTGTCCACTGTTTAAGGGATATTGCAGGTCTCTGGCTAAGTTTCTTTCCTTTTCACGGAAAGAAAGGTGTTTCCCGGCAGCATCACTTAAAAATAGCAATCTTGATGGGCATAAAAGGAAAGCTGATTGCTCTGGTCGTATGGGAGCTGAGAGAGAGCAGAATTACTTGAATTGTTGCCCTTTTTTTTCTTCCAGTGTAGAAACATGAGGAAAAAATTATAAAGTAGGAGGAACCAAAGAAGCAATGTTAGCTGAGTTTGGGGCAGGTGGAAAAAGAAGGACTTTAGCCACTGCTGGGAGACAGACACACCACATACGCCAGGATAGCTTGTCTTTAGCCCTCCTCATGGAAATGAGCCTTCTCCTTTGTGGGCTGGGAACAGCCTGTGGGTCATGCTTAACCACAGGGGAGATGCTGCCCTGGCTGCTCCAGGCCTCCTCCTCCTTCTCCACAGCTGCAGAAGTGCCTGCCCAGACACCCACTCCTAAAAAACTGTGTTTAATTTGGCCAAGGCAAGAAATAGGATGTGCCTTCCAGGGAAAGGACTGACATCAACCAGCCACCTACTGATCTTGATATTGGTTCTTAAGATAAGCACCTGTCCTATTGAGAAAAGGCTGAGAGTTGGCATTCTTCAGCCTGGAGAAGAGAAGGCTCCAGGGAGACCTTAAAATCACCTTCCAGTACCCAGAGGGAGCCAACAGGAGAGCTGGGGAAAGACTTTGTACTGAAAGAAGGTAGGCTTGATTGGATATTAGGAAGAAATTCTTTACAATGAGGGAGGTGAAGCACTGGAACAGGTTGCCCTGAGAAGCTGTGGATCCCCATCCTTGGAATTGTTCAAGGTCAGGCTGGATGGGGCTCTGAGCAACCTGCTCTAGTGGAAGGTGTCCCCGTCCATGGCAGTGGAGTTGGACTGGATAATACTTCACAGTCCCTTACAAACCAAACTATTTTATGATTCTGTAACTTTTCAGATTAAAAAAAAATCAAAATATAAAGATCATATTCAGACAAAGATCATATTTCTAGCTGCAGTAGAAAAGTCCCTTAACTACAAAATTATCTTGTCTGATGCTCCCTTCATTAAAGACAATTTTAAGAAGACACTAAAATATTGAGGCGAGCCAGACAACTGAAATTGGAACAGCTTCCATTCTAAATTCAGCTACATGTCCCTCTCCCAAGCCAACATGCAGGCCCACAACACCTGGGCAGATGGGTGTCACAATTACTTCTTAGTATCTCATATAGCACAGCAGGAGAAAACAGAGAGAAAGCAGTTGAAAAGCACAAAAGGCAGCTAGAGAAGGATGAGTAGCAGGACTCTGAAAGAAATAATTAGGTCTCATACTAAAAAAGCATCTGCTTCAACCAAATAAGTGAGTTAGTTTCCATTTCTGTGGAGTTTTGTAAATTTTTTTGCAATTAAGTAATGAAGGAAATAACTCATCTTTACTGTCCTATCAGTAGGGTTCAGTACTTTTTGAAAGCAGCATTAATTTTTCATGATCCAATAAAACTGATAAAACCAGCAATGGAAAAATCTATATTGTTTTTTACTTTAAAAAATTGGAATTTTGAAAAAGTAGTTAAAACTTGATGACTCTTTTACCTGCAAGAAGAAGTTGTGTTCTCGTATAAGTAATCATATGTGTAAACACAGCAGGGTATATGACATATAATGTAAATTTTTGAGAGTGTATTTGTGTGGAAATTTCCAAATCAGAGTGAAGAAGATTTATAATGTAGCATTTCAGTGCAGTCCAGTGCGAGTCTGTTGTCCAGACCCCTCTGATGGGATAACTTCTCTGGCTTGTTGCCATTTCCCTCAGGCACAGGCTGGGATATCTGTTTCAACAGTAAACGTGTCCTAAATAGCTACTGCGCCCTCCCATGCCTGAATAAAATCCAACATGCAGATGCTTTTTCTGTCACACCTACCAGAGAGGAAAGTGGATCCCTGAGCCCAGCTGAGACACCACGGCATCCATCAGCCAGTGGGCTGGCAAGGAAAAGAATGGCTCCAAAATTGTGGACTCTTTCTAATTACTGCAAAGGATATTTCTTGACCATGATAGCCAGCAAGTGACATGGTGCTGGTAGTGAGGAACTAGGCTGCTGAAGGATCTGGCAGCCTGGGAGCTATGCTTGTGGGTGTCACAGAAATGGCAGTAAGATTATAGTGGTTTGCCTTTAAACACAAAGAAGGTGTTTGCATTTTGGTAGTCAGTGGGACCTCGCATGTGTCTGGGTTGGAATATTTTCATACAAGGGGTGATGAGGATGGTCTTACACAGCACCTGTGAATTGGTTCATTGAGAGATCTTCAATTCTTTGAAGATATGTGTACCACTGCTCTGATGGCGTTGCTATGAAAATAGTGTAAATATATGCAGCTGTAGTCAGTGAGGTCTGCAAATGTATTACAGACATGAGGGAATATGGTATTTACTGATTTGTATTACAGCAGAATGTGATCCCTCTTGGAATGGGAGCTTTGAGGACAAGCTCTCCCTAAAATGGTACCTGGTCTGGCTCAGAGTACAGCAGTGTTTAAAAACTGTCATTGAATTTTGGTTCTGTAATAGCTGTTTTTTTGATTCTAGTAATAGACAAGGTTTAGGGTCCTGACTGGCTAGTGAAGCAAACATACTATTTTTTCATTAAAAAAAAATATTTTGCTTCCAGCAAATTAACTTTTCCAATCTCTGTGTAATCTGACAGTCAACAGCAGGCACATTCACCACCTTCCCTCCTTTAATTTTTCTTTTGTTCTTCCCATTTGCTTTGCTGTTATTCTTTATTTCATCCCCATTGTTGTATTTCCCATTTTAGCTTCAGTTCCCACCCCAAAGCATTGCCCAAACTCTGCAAGAGAGATGGTGAAACTCCTTGTGATTTTTTTGTCTCCGATTTTCCCCTTCTCCCACCCACCTCCTCTTTTGTGCGTTCTGCCTTTTCCCAGGCACTGCTCTCCGGGGGAAGTGAGCATCTCAGATGTGCAGCCGAGCACCAGGTGAGCCCCAGCCCCCTTTGGTAACAGTGGGAGCTGTTTGTCAGTGTTCCATAGGTGTTTGCACTTAACCAGCACCGAGCTCCTGGCTGGCTGCTGGGCACAGAGGACTCCTTGTCTGTCCTCCGTGTCCCTGTGTCAGGGGAGTGGGGAGCCAGGCTGCCGAGGGAACCCAGGCACTGGAGGCGAGCCATGCTGATACCTGTTGCCATAGCAGCAGCAGCAGAAGATACAGCTGGCCGCCCTCTCAGGGAGAGCAGGAGCTGGAAAATATTCATTAATTTTATTTCACCGGCTTTAGAAATCTACAGGAAGGACCTATTTGAAAGGAGTGTTATGAAACATCTCTACTTACATGTGTTTGCTTTGTCCAGTCACCACTTCTAAAATGTTTGGGCAAAGGAGTCACCAGCCCTACCAAACGTACTCAGCATGAATGTTGTGCCCTGTGTTGGGCAGCTAGATTGGTGGTTTTGCTGGAGCACAGCCTTCAAGGCACAGAGTAGGGCAGAGGGAAAGGTGGCAAGGGCCAGTCCTGTGGATGGCAGAGAGTGGAGAGGAACATTTTCAGTGGCTGGAGTTTACAGGAGCATAAGTTGTTACATTTTGTCCTCTGTCCCTTCAGGGCGTATGGTGGAACCCTGGTTTGTAATGCATCCCAGCAGTGAAACCCAGTAGCCAGGTTCTGGTTAGATTGCCTGCCACCCTTCCAGACAGGAGCCTTGAGTTTGAAATGCTTTCATAGACCGTGAGCAGCTGTCAGCAGCAGATGGAGGCTTGACTGGAGACATCCAATTTTTGCAGCATGTCCCTTTTACTAGCAACATTGCTTCTCCCTCTGCTACCATCAGCCTCACAAAACAGGCAGGGAGAGAGCCAGGAGAAAGTCCAGCAAGAAAGCAGCCTGTTGTGCCTGCTTTCAGCAACAAGCCAGAGGTCAAGCCTTTGCAGGTCTAGGTAAATTCTGACTGTGTGAAAAACCATGGCCAACTTGCAAAGTTAATGGGAAGTAGTCAGAAAGAAAATGCCATCTAAACTTATGTGTGATGCCGAAAATGTAATAACTGTGAAACCTAAAGCAAAAGGATTATAATGTTTTTGTTATTTTCATATTTGTGATAGTTATTACCATTCCAAACAAACTGCAACTAGAAATATAAACCCACGGTTCTGGTGCAAGAAGTTCAAAGACATTGCACTGTTAAATGGTCAATTGTCATTAAACTGAATGTTCCAGTTTAATCCTAAAATTCAGAAGTTGGTCCCAGATTTGTTAGAAAATCATGGGATTGCCAAATGACAAGAAAGGCAGCGGGCTTTGTTTCCCAAATACAATTCTCCAGTCTAGTGTAGTCTATCCAGTTTGAGCTCATTTTCTTGCTAAATACAGAATGAATCAGTGAACTTTTGAATGTTTGTTTGGTTTTTTCTGTTATTTATTTTATCACAGTAGAAGTCCCTGGAGTTCTGAAAATGCAGCTGATTACAAGAAGAATAGACAAAAAAAAGGAACAGTGAGTTTCAGATACATTAGACATAACAAAATATCTATCTGTGTGTTTAATTACAACTTCTATCTAATATGTTTTGATGAAATACAGCTAGTCCATCTTCCTCAAAATAATCTTGGTCTGTGTAATCTCACTACATGCTTAGTTCCCCCACTCCTATTTCATCCATTAGCTAAATATTTTTGTTGTCTTAACGTCAGCTCAAATAATTTTTTCTGGACTGAGAGCAGAAATTGTGGCTGACAGATCAGGTTTTGAATATTAGGGAGTTAGTGGGGCACAGCTTTCCTTGCCTGAGGCCCACAGTAACAGACCCTCATGCTGTTGAGATGGTGTCTTTTCAACACGTCATTTCTTACTCATTGACAACATCTACATGCTCGGAGTTTATTGTCATGAGAAGTATTTAATTAATGGGAAATGATTAAGAAAAAAGAGCAGAACCCCTGCCCACAGAAAAGGGCAGATGCAAAACTAACCTGTGGCAGTTCTCCCCTCAGCCAGCTGTCATGGGATGTCCTGACACCAGGCTTGTTGGATCAGCCAGCAGAGCATGAGCAACAAACTAATGTGGACCAAAGTGAGGAAAGAATGAGAGGCTGGATGTGTGACTTACTTCCACCGAGAGCTTGGGTGCAGTAATGAGTGCTGTGACAATGACAGACAATGGGAAATGTCCTGTCATCCCCCCAGCACAGCCAGCTATCTGCAGCCTTATGCAGAGGGTAACAAGTGTGACACGAGTGCTACAGAAAATATATATGGAAGATCTGTATAGCATTAAATATTTACTGGTTTTGAAAAGAAATTTATGTACAGTTTAGGATTTAAACATTTAGGCAGCCCTTCTTGTTTTTTTTATCCACCCTATTTTCTAAAAAAAGACAAGCATTTCTCTAAAGAAATACATCTTATTATAAAATCATGTCCTACAACTTCAAGAAAATACTTAACACCTTTAACCAAACTGACAAAGTAATTGCAATCTTTTTTTTTTTAATTGTCCAAAATAAATTCTGATGCATCAAGAGTAAGAATTTGCAGTATTATCCATCTGTCATTTATCTGAAGACTGAACAAGAGACATTTCATTACCTTTCTCCTGATTTCAACCAGTTCTTCTTTGGAGAACAAGCACAAAGTGAGACATACCCCTATGAACTGGTACGTTGAAAGTACATGGCCATAAAACAAGTTAGCTCTTTTCCTGTGAGATCATTTTGTACCCTCTTTTTGGTAACAGATTGCACTGCTTGCCAATGACTACTACAACTATTGTCAAGTTATTTTACAAATGGTGAGAGAGACCAAGCTTGACAAGGTATGCTTTTTCTTTAACAACATTTACTCCAACAGCAAACAGCTGTGAGGGCAAAATTGTGTCTGTGTAGCTTATTTTTACTTGATGGTTTGAGCCAAGGTAGATGATGATTTACAGACAAAAGGAGCATTTAGTCAAGTTATTTTAAAATTCTGAATTAACAAAACTTGCTCCAAGAATCTGAGTTTGTACACATATCCTGAGCCTTCCTGGCACTCCAGTAAGTCTGAGCTGAGCACCTAACACATAGCTATGGATACACACCTTTAACTACATCCTCATATCCATGGCACAATTCTTTGTTTCTTTCCTCTTTTGTACACTGCCTGGTGAGGTTCAGCTTGTTGCTGCTTCCCCAGCATGCTTCTACTTACACTGGAGCCCAGCCAGGATGGGCCCAGGCAAAGAGCCCATCTCCATGGTCATTCCTTTGCTTCTGTGTCTGTGTGTTGTCTTACTGAATTATATTTCATATTCCACGAGTGTAAAATCAGTGAAAATTCATAAAGGGCTCTGTGTGACAGGTGGAAGATTGTATCATGTCATTCTGGACATCTCTGCAGCCTGAAAGAATAGAACTGATGTGCCTGCCAGATGTGTGCCACCTGTTAAAAAGCTATGATAGGTATCTATTCAAGGTACTGCACACACATTTCCTTGCTGTAGTTATGCTATTACGTGTTTGTGTCTTTTTGGTAGCTCTAAGGAGAAGGGCCCTCTCTTTCTTTTGTGCCGTACAATAGGATTTCTGTTTATTCCTCAACTCTATCCTTTTGCTTCTTCTGAGGCAGCCTGGTATGGGTTTTGGTTTTGAAAGGAGATTATAGTAGAATTTGGGATAGCTTTCATTTTTCTCCTATATATTAATTTGAAAGTTCCTAATATCAGTGGAGTGTGCTGTTATATGGTCTGTGGTTCTGGCGTGGGGTTATCTGACTGAAATTTCAACTGATGATGATTTTCCAGATTATGAGAGTTACTTTTCCTTTGAGAACACTACTGCATTTCTCAGTAACCTTCCACACAGAAATATGCAGTTTTCTGATAAAAATAATTTGCTTCTTGTTCCCAGCAGGTCATTAAGTATTGTCTAGAAATTAATTCAGGAAGCAAGATTTACTCTTAGGGTCTTTGTCCTTCTGCTAAAAAAGTTAGCTTAGCTCTTTCTTAATTGGAAGAAAAAAAATGTGTTTCTTTACATTTACATTTAAATTATCAATATAATTTTATTTCATGCTGCTGTAAATATCTGTGGTACACCAGTCAAGTGTAGCAGCATGAATTTGTATTCTAGGAATTGGAGAACATCCTACTTCCTGATTTCCTGGAGGAGGTGCCTGCACAACACATAGACTCAATCAGATCATTCAGTGAAAATGTTAAATGTTGGATGCTTAATCCTTTGGGAGGTTTTCCATTACTGCTCCAAACATCCAAGTCTAATGGTAGGTTTGAGTAAGAGAGATATTTTCAAAAATAATCTTCGGTTAAACTGCAGAGAAGATTGTATTACAAAACTCTTAAATGATTTAAAAAAAAATTTAGCTGATGTAACAGTGGTAGTAGCAACAATTAGAGTTAGTTGGGATTCAGTTAAAAATAAATGGTTTTGCATACATGAGAACAAACTTAAGCCAAAAGTATTCCAAATTCATGGTAAATTGAAATGTACTTAAATTGAAATGTACTTAAATCTTTTTACAGATCTGTCTCTTGCCATGATTGCTTTGGCTGTGTAGATGACCAATGATATGCAGCATGCCCTCTGAAACTCAGATATTATTGTGTCTCTTCCTCTTACAAGTGGCTTTATGCTGATAAATAAATTAATGGCTATAGCAGTCCAATATGAAAGGGAAAAAAGCCATAGTCCCGTAGGGAAAATATGACTGACATTAGAAGACAATTGGAAAAAAATCTGTTCTCTACAAAGCTGTGGTATATGTGTGTGTTTGTAAACATGTACACACACACAATTATATTTATACCTATTAAGTTGAAGATTCTGACTAAAACATTGTGTTGGTCAGTTGATCACTGAGTGAAGACCAACTCCACAGAGGTAAAGCAGGGCTCCTGTGTAGGCAAAAGTTTGTGTTAGGATTCATATGCTCAAAGTTGCAGACAGACTTAATTTTGGCATTTCTTACATTTGAATGCTTGACAGGGCATTAATTAGGAAGTATTAAATGAAAATAAGAAAATATTGAAAGACTTTTTCCTGCACATCATGGATTAATAGATTCAGAAGGAAGGAAGAGAGGTGGGCCGGGCAGTTTCTCCTTGCAAGTTTTGACTGCAAGGGTCCCCAGCCCATCCCATAATGCTACCTCAGTGCCCCTGTTGTGCCCTCCAAATCTCCCCCAGGGAACTACTTTCTAACTTAAAAGATGTCTTCATTAATGTATTTTAGACTGTAAAATATTAATGATGTGAAACATCTGCCTCTTCTTCTTTAACAGAAGCTAAAGAGTTTGTAAAAAGGCTCAGGAGACAGACAGACCTTTGCAACATGGTCAAGGTATGTTCCAGAATTAATGGAAAAAAATAGGTTGGAATCTCATTCCTGTGAGCTGTTTGCACTGTTTTTGACATGCTCCATTGGAGAAGAAGTGCAGCAGCATGGATGTTCTTAACTGTACACCGACCGTGTCACGCTCACACTCCCACCCATCTCTTCCCACACTGTGAAGCACGCTGAGAGGACATTTTCCTCACTCTGAATTCTTCTGAAAGCCTCTGAGATGTAGTTGATGGTAGCCCATGGAGAGGAGAACACAGTAGCTGGAAGGGTCAGATGACAATTTCCAGTATCTTTGCCCATCCATGCCAAAGTCAGTTGAGAGCACATGCTGGAGCGTTCCTTCCATTGGTGTCCTTGGATCCTCCCAAATCCTTGGGTTTTGAGGTGGTCTGGGCTATAGCAGAAAAAGGAAGGTCACAAATAGGGAAGAAAGCAAAAGAGAACAGGGGATATAGTCTCTCCTTCAAACATGTACAAGAAGTTTTTTTATATTTTCCCAACATGCCATCTGATTTGAATTGTTACTCAGATGGAAGAAGGGAAGCAGGAAGAAAACAAATGAGGGAGGGACGGGAGGAACTGCATCTTCTTGAACCAATAAATGTAGCTTTTCTTTGTGAGAAAACTTCATCACCAGTAGCATACAAAACACTCCCTCCTCTTACTTTAACAAAAAAAAAAAAAAAAAGAGTAAAAAATAAAAAGCACAGACATGCATAAGGGTGCCTACCCATGCAAAAAGTTGACTTCCATGTAGTACTGAGCACTCATAGTTTCCACTAACTGCAGCAACCCTTGGAGATACAAATACCTGAAAATCTCAGCTTTATGTGCTTCTAAACAGGTCTTTTTATGCATTGAAGAGCATGATCATGAGTGTCACCTATTCCCAGATATTTGCATTTGATATGCATACTTCTTGTTTTCAAGCCATGGTGTCAAAGGGCTGGTTGTAGTAGCTCTTTCAGCCTTCCTTCCCTATTCTTAATGTGTGGAAAAGCTGCAGAGTCAAAACTGGATTTACACCCTAAGATTTAGAGCAAGAGAATTGCAGCAATTGGGGGAAGTTCTCTAGAAGAAGCCTCTGGGTGCTCTGCATCCCTTTTATACAGTTTAACCCACACAAACTGAACACATCAGACTGGAGAATCAGGGTCGAATTTACACTTCTAGCTCTCACAAGTAAAAGTTGTTTGTACCTTCTCTAGAGCCTCTTCAAAACACAAGGGAAAAGTAAGAGTTTTACTGTACTTGACATTTTGGGGTAGTGAGTTCCAAGATTTAATTATTTGTTGTATGAAAAAATACTTTCTTTCATTATTTTAAAATTTCTACCCTTCTTCAAGCAATGCTTTCCACAAACCTGCAACACATCCTGTTTCAGTTATTCCTATCTGAAGGTTAAGTTTATCTCATCTTCTCACACAGGAGTAATTTGATATTTCTAATCAACCTTCTCAGTTTTCTGTCTAAAATGCATCTGGAATTTCCACTAAAGACTGATGGTCAGAGCAGCAGAGTGCTCCTGATGAGAAGTGCTAGAGAGGCACTGTGCAGCTGCAACCTCTGAACACTGTAACCACATCATTCCTTGTAGAGCACTTCACAATAATTCAGCCATCTGGTGAGAAAGTAAGAACAATTTTGGCAGGGTCAACATTCAAAAGAAAAAAGCTAACTTTCCCACCATGTGTAGATAAAGCAGGCTGACAACTGCTACTACCTGGACACGTAGAAATAATTAGAGCATAAAAAGGTGCAAATTCCCTGTGAGAAAAGAATGTGAATATGATGCTTGTCATTTTCTGGGGCTGATTCCTGCCTCTGGTAAGTTGCATTTCAGTGTTGAGAGGGCTGGCTCTCAGTCATTTTGGAGAATCATGTTTAGTATAGTGAAATCCAATGGCTAAAGGGATCAGTCCAAAGTGTTGGGGCATGGAGTCAGGTATTAGCAGCCTACTGAAGGTGCTGCCCCAGTAGTTCCCAGCCTTGGGGTCATGTATTCTTTTTGCAGGCTCTTTTTCTGTCACTGAAAGCTCCAAGTCAAATAAGAGGGGTGCCCTTGTCTTTAATTTATATGGAGGAGATTGCTAAGTGAGAATCAGATTGAGTTTGGTATTTAAAAAAACTTAGCAGAGTGATGAAAAATAGCTGTATAATTTTTGCAAAGAAATGGTCAGCTGCATTTTTTGCTGCTTGTGGGGTCATGTTAAGCACCTGGTGAATGGGATTTGTTAAAACAAGTATGAATCCTGAAGTTTTCTGGAATTTTACAAAACATATTTTTCCTCTGAAAAGCCTGAAGTGCAAAAAAGGCTTTAGGATCTTACTGACTTCAGTATGAAAGACTAAACATATTTGTTAACAAAATTTAATGGATTCAGATTTAGTTTCCTTGACCATTTTCATTGTTTTATCCAGAATCTTAAGGAATATTGTGTGATATTAGCAACTAATTAAAAAGAGTGAAGAGATTATGATAAGTGTTAGTCTGGAAATTGTTTGCAATATATCTATGTGAGTAGTACTTTTTGAGACAAATATGAAGACAGATTCATTCACAAATTACTCATAAGCAGATAACTAGGATAAAATACCAACTAATACTGTTTTAACTAATACCTATTTCTAATGTTATTTTTACTCTCTCAAAGGCTTGAGCAATTTGAGAAAACTTGCAACAATTAAATTGCAACATAAATTAAGGACAGATAACACTGAAGGAAAGTCATCCCTGATACACCATTCCATGCTTTAGATAAAATATCATTCTTTAGTGTAATTATAATAACTCTAGGCAAAGCCAATTGCCCAGGCAATTGCCCAGATAATTCAAGTATGTTAGCCTTGTCTGCTCCATCACAGGCAACACAGAGCATCATTGAAAAGGACATCTCCCAGAACAAAACTCTCTTGAAGACAACTTCAGATTTATCTCCTTTGATCCTATAGCCCCCCACACCCCCAGTTTGGAGACTGGTCATATGAAGTCTAGTATTGAATAAGGGAAGCTTTCCTTTTTAAATTCCCTTATTTGGCTGAGTTAAGGGCTTGAGAAAATGAAAGGCATTAACTGCTTTTTTATTCTCTCCAGACAGTAAGAGCACTCTTGAACAACAACAGCACAGTCACTGTTCTGCGATCAGGCTTGCATGCCATCTTCAATGAGAAATCTCTGGATGTGACTAAAGACCTCTTTCAAGAGAAGTTTAGGAATCCGAAGAAGCGGCAGAAAAACATACAATTAAAATGTAATTAATTGTTGCTATTTATTGTCTTTCCTCTTAAGCCTAACTTGTCATTGTTGAAGGTTCAGCATTTCCTCTTGTTTATTCATGACATCTGCCTTACTGGGAATTACATCTTCCTGTAACCTGAAGGGCTAGAAAAGAGCCAATAAATCTGAGAATCAAGCATGAGGTAATATCCTCCTAACTTTAAAGGTTAAAAATTAAAGGCTTTTGGTTCTGACTCTCTTAAAGCTTTTTGTGACAGCAAGAGTGGGGTTTGTGTTACTGAATTATCTATCTATCTATCTCCCAGAAGAAGGTTGACAAGCAGGGATATTTTTTCATGGTTTCTTTTGACAGGAGAGATGTTTTTAGTCATTGCATTTTCCTCTGTTATTAGTTGAAGCACACAAAATCATTTCTTCTGGCCAGATTTTAAAATACTGTATGCTGAACTGGACAAGGCCTGTTAGCTTTTGTGTCCTTTTGCCGTATTGTGGCCTGTGGGATCAATGTTGTGCTGTAAACAATAAAATACACAGTTTGTGTGCAGCCATGACATAATGATTTGACAACTTAAATGAAAAGGAAGAGAATGGCAGCTTAATTTTTAAATTAATGGTCTGCCATTTAAAATATTGGGAAGAGATAGGCAAGTTGGACTAGGCTGTGCACAGAACTAACTGGGGGAACCTCAGCTCTCTTCCTGGTACATCACCGACTCAGGCACTGACAAGGGATTTGTCACAGACTTTCTGTGACTGCTTTCAGTAGGAATAATAACTTGCCTGCTTCACAGAACCATCAGGAGAACCATTTCAATAATATACATATATATGCTAAACCCAAAACCCCTGCATAGAACACTTATTACATTTTTCCGTTATATCACCGATGTTCTTAGTCTTCCCAAGGTGGTTTTATTGAATTCTCTGTTTTCATTGCTTTTCCAAACTGTCATTTGTAATAAGCAAGGTTTCACTGAACTTGTCCATATGCTTTCTTGAAGGAAGAGGTGTCAATTAGAAGGGTATAAATTCAGGGAAGTGCAATTTACCTTTTGGCATTAGGTGGTAGGTGCCAAACTTGTGGGGGAACAATTGCATTGATATGTGGCAACATTATCCATATTTCTGTTGGTCTACAGAATATTCTGCATTTTCTGTTATTGTTTTAAATTTTTGTTCTCCCATTAACAGCAAGACCAAGATTTCTTTTTTCTCAACCACATAAAATCTCAGATAAATAATTTATCAAATTCCAGCTTTCTCATTGGAACTGTTTTTTCTTGCCACCTTTGCCATGATCATGTCTGGTCAGTGCAGGTATGCTGGAAATGGACATACACATGAATTCTGACTAATTCAAAGTAGCGTACTATTCTTCACTAAAGAAATGGTGTATTAATCAAAATGCTAGAAACAGATGTCTTAATCTATCTTAAGGTAAAGATAAAAGAAAAAAAAAAGCTTAAAACTGCAGAAAAAACCCAAGAGGCAGACCAATCACTTCAAGTAATGATCTCCCTTCTGTATTTCACAGGTCTGAAAAACTTCATTTCTTCACTGACATCTTCCACAGATATTCGGGATCTCCTGAGCTGTTTGTCTTCAGATCTCCAGACTTTTGTTATTAAGGTATAAAATTAATAATTTCAGAATAGAAGAAGTGATCACATCACTTATCCTGCTACATGCTGACTGTCACTAGTCTGCAGGAGCTACATTGCACACTAGCAACCTGACCAGACTGCAGATTTGCATAAATACAATTTATGCAGGCTGTGTAAAAGGAGAGAATTAATTGACATACAAAAATTCCATCTGTGCAAACAACTACAAGCATATTTCCGTGCACATATTCTCTCTAGTGGTTTCAGTATCTGCTCTCATTTCAAAGACATATCATAGCCCCTAATAAACCAAAATTCAGAAGTAATGTGTTGGTATAAATGAAGAAAACACTTCATGGTTCCTTACATCTTTGTTTCACCAAGCTGTTGACTTTTAGCAAGAACTTCTAGTAGAAAGTCTCTAGCTCTTGTGAAAGATTCCAGTATGACCATCCTCACATGTGCACCTTTCAATAGATTACGAACTCTACCACCCCTCTACCTTCACTGACTCACAATTTGTGTCACCGTGTTGTACTGCTGCATTTGGTTGATTACCATAACAATTAACTTGGCTTTGGGTAGTGCTTAGAGTTTGGGGTTTTTTTCTCCTTTCTGAAGAAGCAGAGTAAACTGTGTTGCCTTGGCTTAATTATTTGCTCTTATTTTTTTTCTTTTTAAATGAAGAATAGTTCTTTGCAATTCTGTAGTGCCTCCATCTTACATAACCCTCAACTACATGATGAGAGGGTATAGAGAAGATGGAGTGGGACTTTTCCTGGGGGTTCATAGTTATAGACCATTAGGCAATAGACACAAGTTGCAGCAAAGAAAATTTCCAACAGATACAAAGAAAAAAAATTACCATTAGAATAATTAAGCATAGGAAGAGGTTACCTGGAAAGGCTGTAGAATGTTTATCCAGGAGATACTCAGAACTTGGCTGGACAAGGCCTGAACTAAGCTGGCCATGCTTTGGACAAGACATCAGAATAGGTAATATCCAAAGATGTCTTTCAACCTAAGACATTTTAGGATTCTAATAGGAAAAAAATGCTTGTTGCTTTTTATGCAACCTTTGTATGCAGTTTGAACAAGCAAAATGGTCTGACACACAGAAAGGAATTCTTTTAACCAACTTTATAATAAACCTTTTTTTTTTATTTTCTGCAGCCAAGCAAGAGCAAAGAGGCATTTAAAGAGCAGGCATCAGATTTCATGTTGAAATGGAACCTCCTACTGAGCAATGTAGGCAAGATTCTGACCATCAACAGGACAGACAGTTTTGGTAAACAGGATCTTTGTGACTCTAATTTGATGTGCCCCATTTTGACCTGAGATGGCAGAGGCAATAGATCCAAAAGTACCTAAAGGGGGCAATGAGGGCTGGTGATGTAATGACAGGACAATGGAGAATGGCTTTAAAATGAAAGAGAGCAGGTATAGACTGGATATTGGGAAGAAATTATTTACTGTGAGGGTGGTGAGGCATTGGAACAGGTTGCCCAGAGAATCTGTGGATGCCCCATCACTGAAGTGTTCAAGGCCAGGTCGGATGGGGCTTTGAGCAACCTCTGGAAAGTGCATGGCAGGGGGTTGGCATTAGATGGTCTTTAAGGTCCCTTCCAACCCAAACTGCTCTGCGTTTCTGTGATTCTGTGATTTTAACTGATATAAATGCATGAAACATTTAATAGAGGCATCTCTTCTCCTACTCCTTTCCTTTTATCACCATTCTCCTGGTGATGTGGCTAGCCAGGTCAGGGAAATGAAATGATTAGGTTTTGGCCAAACCAGTTCTCTGAGCAAAACTCTAGGATGAGCAGAAGAGAGGAGAGTAGGAGCATGCGGCTGTAGATGGCAGGAAGGCCGGGACTCCCTCTTTTGGCAGAAGCTGTACTTTGTGGGGAAACAGGGAACAGTACCCTGAGGTGAGAGCCTCTGCTTTCCCTCCATGCAAGAGCTGCACACCACAGCAAAATGGTTTGATGGACACCTGGGGCCACTAATATTCCAAACCGTAAGCATTCCAGACATCTCAAGTGATAGCTCTGAGTCCCCAGGTTCTTTCTGTATAATACAGCCAGAGCAGAGCCACTGCAATAACTAGTTGCCAAAAAAGCAGTTAGTTCCTCTGACAACAGATATAGGCTCATCTTACTTAATGTCTTACACTGACCTAAGTTCTTGCCTAGCCAGCAGCACACCTGTTGAAGGTATTGAACTGACTGAAAAATAGCCACTTCTTTAGCTGGGTTATTTTTCTTTCCTTCTTATGGCTCTGAGCTGTCAAACATCAAATCCATCATAAGCCAGTGCAAGGTGGGAGAAGGAAAGGAACTGTGCAGTTGTGTCCACTCAAAAGAGGCTTGAAGTGATACAAACATGTCTTTAATCAGTCCAATCCCTACCCTAACTGCTCTTCTCTTCACTTGTAACACCTCACAAAGGTGCCATTTCTGCAGAAATGTACTGTCTCCTCTGAGTTACATCTTATCCCAAACTGTATGAAATGCCTTTTAGATTTTCAAAGGAGTACCTTCATATTTTTAACTCTTCTGTTGGATACAACTTCATACAAATAGCCAAAGAAAACCTCATTATTTTCATTGAAATGCCCCTTCAAAACCATACTTTCATGTGTTTGCTATAAATACGTGACAAAGGGATATGCCAAGGTTGTTGCTTTTTGTGTTCTTCAATATTCTTACCCCATTAATGCCTGTGCTTGTGCATGTATGAACACGCTCTTCTTCTGCATCAAGCTGCTGCCTTTTTCCTTCTGTTTACTTGTAAACTGTCTGGAGCAGGATCAGAGTTTTGTTCTGTGTCTGCAGGGAACATAACACAGTAGGGTCCCTCGTCCATCAGCTGCTGCATTACAGTGAGAGTAAAATAATCAGTCCTTTCTCTCTCTCCAGAGGAGTTCTGCACAAAACTCTCCAATGTTACATGCAATATTTTTGGCAATGAATAAATTGAGAATGCATTCCAAGAACTGCACTGGAAGTATAATGGTTATTGAAATCCCCCATGATGAAAAAAATCCTCTTCCCTCTTTCCACCACAAGAAGAGTTTAATGAATTGCCTCCCTGTTCTGCAGTTGTGTTGATGAATGGGATACAATGGATAGAAAACATTTCTTGGTCTGCTGAGTCTTTGTTAAACTAATTACAAATTACATTTTCGCTCATTTTATGACAGTTTTCCTACTATACTTAAATAAGAGTAAAATTGAATTTATTTCAAATATAAGAGATTTAAAAATATTGTTTAGTATTTTGCTGTGATGCTTCAATAATGTGGTCATTATTATCTTTCTTTACTCCTTAAGATGTTGTATTTGATCTATCAATGTCCCTTTTTTTTTTTTTTTTTTTTTTTATATTTCTATTCCTTTAGGACACTGAGTTTTAGCAGACAGGCTGAAGCAGTTATGTTAACAAGCCATCTGGTGTAAAAGTTCTGTACTTGGGAACACTGCTTTCCAGAAATGTCTTAAATCTCAGAATTTCTTCAAAATATGAACTATGTAGCATCCACACTGAGGAAACACAATTACCTGGGGAAATGTGTGTCATCTTAATCCCGTAACCAAAACTAATCTTACTTCTGACTTGACCCCTTGCCTTCTAGCTTGCCACATCCAGCAGACATAATACACTGGCATACTCACACCTCTCAATTTGGGATTGGCTTTCACCCTGTTCCAGCCCAGCTCCCACTTGGGTGATGTCCAAGTGAGATCAGAGGAGCCCTGCAGTTACCCCTGCTGTAAGGCCTCTGTAGACCTCTGCAGCTCCTTCAGCTCCATTTCCTTTCCAGAAAATGTGCCTCTGCACACCTCCCTTACCGAGTTTCATGTCAGCTCACACACCTCTGCTGCTTTCCAAGGCATTCAAGGCAGCACTGCCAAGCCATGGGTAGCCACTGAGTAGTGAGCTGTGCATTCCTCTTCTGCAAGCAAGTTGCTTCAACCTGGGTCCTCTTGAGAACTGTGTTCCTCTGTATTATCCCAAAAGGGAGTGGCAGCTCTGGCTTCATGCTTACTCTTAGAGAATGTATTGAAAACACCTGTAAGACTGTTAGAAACACTCTTGAACTACTATTTACAAATCAATATAGTTTCAACTCCAACCATAAAAATCCCTTTCCTTGTTCCACAGGCAAACAAGCACTTCCTCCTACTTTCCTAGTTTAAGGATCCTCAAAAGGATGAACAGCAGAAGCAGCAGCTTCTTAGACACATATAACATCAAAAGAGAGTATTTTTCATTTTTAAAGCTCTGTAAACTGTGGTCATTAATATAAATTGTGATATCTCCTTGTTGATGTCCATATAAACTAGTTTGTGGGATGCAGAGGTTATAAATTGCTTGATGAATTCCTATGCAGATTTATGGCATGGAAGATCTACTTTTTACTGTAAGGGCTTTCAACCAAGGTATGATTCAAAAGTCAATGGCCTCAGTGAGTCTTTCTTGGCTTTTATCACTTATGGTCCAAGCTGCAGGGTGGGCCATTTAATGTCATAGATACAACACACACAGATGTCTGTGGGAGGTTTCACTTGGGAAGAGGCGGAATGATTTATCTGTCTGAGGAGAGAATGGGGATAATATGTGGTTATTGATAAGTCCTGTAGTAGAAGTGAATGTAGAGGAGGAACTTGAACAAGAAAGTGAACGAACACAACTTTCCTCTCTAGTTAAATAAGGGGAAAAAAATTGCATATGTTTAAAATTAGCAGTGGTGATTATTTTTCTGGGATATTTGGAAGTGCATAACTTTATAAGGACTGTTTGATGAGTGCTAGTCCATTACTTTGTCTAGCTTATTACTATAATGAAACCCTTCAAAAAAGAACACATCATAAAGATATGCAAATGAAGAGGTTGTCATAATTATCTTTGCTTTTCTTTAGGATCCTGGCTTTTGTTGAATATGCTACTTGTTGATTTTGCGGCTCACATTTTCCAGTCCTATATAGAAGAGGAGAAGGAAGAAGGAAATGCCTTGGTTGCAAAGCAAAATGAGGTCCCTGTTCTGTGTGTTTATGAGCCCAACCATCTCTCAGCCTGTTTTGCTGAGGAGGAACCTCAAGCCAATGCTCCACAGACAGCTCTTGTGATGCAGAACCAGAATAACTTCGGATTAAGCGATGCTTTCCAGAGTTCTGAGTTGTTTGGTGAACACAACCACTGTCAGCAAGGTGAAATTAACATTAACTTAAAAGAAAATGATAGGGAAAATGTTATAAATTGGGCAAATTAGGACAGATTGGGAGGTGTGTGGCTAATTGGGGTATTTTCTGCATGTAAAGTAGAACTAACGAAATCCAGATTTGCATGGAGCTGTGTCCAATGTCACTGAAACCTCAACTCACAAAGCATCCTCCACATCCTGCCCCCACCCTACAATATCAATGGATTGTAATCTCAACATCACCCACCTCCCCAGCACCACAGGTTCCTGATTCTTTCCTTAGGTTTCCAGCAGACATCAGGATCTCCTTCTGATTCCCCAGATGTTGTCTAAGGAAGAGCAGTGCTGTTCTGGTGGGCTGGGAGCAGGCCATGGGCTAGCTGACAAACAGACTGCATGTATTTATCCATCAAAAAAGAGAGGGCACAGTGTGGTCTTTCCTCACTTTAGGAAGCACTGAGAGGCTCTCTGCCCCCCAATTATCTGTTACTTTTATCAAAAGATATGAAATATCTTCAGAAATATGAAATACTTGAGACCTTTCTCCTCTACCAGATTTTCTTGCAGTCAGTCCACTGCTCCAAACTTACTAGCATAAGGTGTGACATACAGGTAAAAAACAAGATAGACTCTAAGTCTTCCAAAATACAAGAACACATGGGAATATGGATCAAGCCTCTGTGGTTAATGCAAGTGATGAATTAGACATTCAGCTGTTTTCATATTTCTCTTCCATGCAGTAAGAACACTTGTCTTATGTCTCAGAGAACATGGTGTTTTCCATAAAACTGTGAAAGAAAAATGTTAATCGCACCAGGACTCACAGAGAAAATGACATTTTTGGGGTGATGCTACTATTGTTATTTTATTCCTAAGAGGTATTCAGTTTCCATACACTAGCACAGGAGTGGAAATTGACTGTTTTTAAAATATCTTTATTAAGTATAAGGCCCTGTAAGGGACCCTAATTTTTTTTTAAGTATGCTAAGACTAGGTCAGCAAATAAAATTGGAGTAAGCAGGCACACAGAGGACAAACCAAGAATGATTTATACATGTGATGGGCGTGTTTGACAGCTTTTGTTATTTTTCAAATGTAAAATAAAGACCCATCCTGCCATATCACCTTTATGCAAACTGTGCTGTCAAAATGCAAACTGTGCTGGGTACTGACAATTTGCAAGAGAGCTCTAAATCAGTGATGGTCAGAAATGAGGAAATGAACCACTAGAAATTTTATTCAATATCTGCCCTTTTCCTGTGCTCTTCACTGTGCTGCCTTTTGTATATCCTATGCCCATTGCAGTGCTTTTTGCAGGGGTCATCAAACAAGGGCTTGACCCAGGTTTGGTCTGTGGAAGTAATGTGCTTATAAATATGTACCAGTTTTGAATTTTTTGTACCTGATCACAAGAACAGAGCAAGGCTGATTAGAGTGAGGGATGAGGAATGATCCCTTTCAGAATAAGAGGGGAAGAGTGTAAAATGTGATATGAGGAGTATGAGGACTTGGTAGAAGGTGTGCATGAGGGAGGGACACAGTGAATGACTGAGAAAGTGTAGAAGTTTAAATATCAAATAACCCAACAGATGATGGAATCTACCAGTCCATGTGCAAGATGCTAATAACTGGGATGAAAAAGATATTCTAGTAAGCACTTGTTATGTTGTGGTTCAAGCGCTTACTGTTTATGATGGAGTCAAAAAACTTGAACCTGCAGCTCAAAAGGGCTTCAGGAACTGTGAGAGAGTCAGTGAGTGAGTGAGTGAGCACTTCTGCCCACTCATGCTCTTCAGATGGATGGTGCTCCCACCTTGACTATTGCAGATCCTTTCTTTTGTATAGCAACACTGATGCCATGGGTTGCTGAAAAACACAGTTGCCAAAAGCATCTTGATCACCCACTGCTTTTTATGTATTGTCATCTCTGTAGTTCCTCTGACAAGATTTCCATTGCATGAGGATTTTTATTCTGTGACTTTTGACCACCAAAAATCATCATCATGCTTCCAAGGAACCATCTGTCCCTGCCCTTGACTAATCCCCCTTTGGCCACAGCCCATTCTCTTGGGTATCTAAACCCTCAGCAGCCATAGCAGCATCCATCAGCCACACTGCTGTTTCCTGGACCACATTTCTGCTGTCTGACATATTGCTCAGGTTTATTTCATAATTTTTGCTTTTAATTCCTTCACCTTAGGCAGGCTTGGCAGCTTTCTGTAACCCAGAGCTTTTCATCAGTTCTCATCCTCCACTCCATCCATTGCCAGCATCACCCAACCTCCGTAGTTTTTAATCTTGCTCCACAAGACATTTCTATGCCTTCTCTACAGCCTGTTATGCTGTGGAAAAAAAAAAAAAATCTGTTCATCACACCTCCCCACTCAGCTCATTGAAATTAGTGCTAACCACTTGGTCTTGCTACAAAACCCTGGAAAAATATGAGAGAAGACTGGTAACACAAATCAGAAAAGAATCTCCCAACCTTACCCTGGTATCAGCAGCACCAATATGTGTGGCTTAGCAGATCCCTTCCTGATCTTTTAGTTGTCACCTTTATTCTTCCTCTTCCTTCTCCATCTGTTTCTAGTCTTCCATTCCTAGTTGATGCTGAATATAAATTAGACTCCTCAGCAGGGAGACCATCTTTTCCCATTTATTCTGAACAGCACAGTACATTTATGAATATTATCTTTAAATATGGTTTAAATAATTAATACATAGAATTAATAAATAGAATTAATACTCTGGAAAGCAGAATACATTCCAGGTTGGTGGCATCTCCCAAGGAAAACATTGATTTTATATGAAAAAAAACATAGAGGGCAGGGGGCAAGATAGTAGAAGATTTGTACACACTGGCTTAGCAGGGAAGTGTGGCAGATGAAATGCTATAGAGCCAAACACACATAGTATGAACTCAAAACTGATGAAACCAGTGGCAGTAACAGAGATGCTCTGAACAAGCCATAATCTATAAAAGTGCAGTTCAGAGAAAATTGGCCAGATCTTTATTCCTTATCACGGAGCTTGCAGTTGCTTTCTCTCAGCATGAATAGCATTTTTTTTTTTTCATATAGAAAATCTCATTCTAGGTTTCTGCATTTTTTTCACTTGTTACCAAATTAAAATCCTATTAAGCAGCACACCTGCAGTGGGTTCATCCGCAGAGCAGCGTGCTGTAGCTTTTAATCCAATTCCACACCTTCACAACATACAATATACTGCAAATCAGGGCACGAAGAGACTGAGGGTATGCTATTCCTAGCTCTGTTGGCAGAGAGCAAATCAAACACTTTGGTTTGTTAAAAAGGGAGAAAAAATAGGACATAGTTAACTACTTGACTTGTAGGAATGGTAAGTGTTCATATGAGTGGTCTGTATAAACCAGGATACAGAGATCAAGTGAAATCATTAACAAAAATGATCAAAAAATGAGAGCAAAAACATGACCCTGCTTGAATTCAGTGTCAAAACTTCTGCTGCCTTTAAGAAAGCCAGAATTTCAGCATGAAAAAGCAGTGCCCATCAGGAGAGAGGCTGAGACTGTGTGTCAGCTGTAATCCCTTCTATTCATTTTCAAAACAAAGTGTGAGAAGTGTGAATGATGTATTCAAAGGGGATATGCCCTTCTGCCAGACCTTTGCCATCCTATGATGAACCCCAATGTGTGCTTCCTCTTGTTGGGTTTATTTGATGTAAAATAAGGCTGGATATCTATAAAATACATCAGGTTCAGCAAGTAAAAATAGAGAAGACTTTTTTGTTCAATGAAGGGAGAAAAAAATGATTTACAATTCCTACAGTCAAAACATTTCCATGTTTCTTTTCTAATTTTCAGCACATCCAGGTGATTTAGGAAGAGAAAATTATTATATCATGTACTAAGTTGGATCTTCAAGTTGGAAAGGAAACGTTTCTTACTCAAAAAGATGAAATTATATTTATTTGCCTCCAATGAACAGCAAATCTTCAGAGAAAAGCATCCTGGCTGTAGCATTCTATATGATATGATATATCTATATGATATATGATTCTTACTTTTTGATAAAAGTTTAAGAAATACTGTTTTCATTCTCTTAAAGATCTTTTTTTTTTTTAATACAAAATGAAAAACTGGGCTAGCAATGCAATTATTTTAAGTTGCCATGTGATTTGATTTTGATTATTTGAATAAATCTTCAAAAGATAAAGGTGAAGTACTTGTGGCTTGGTTTTATGTATTTCTTGTATATTTCTGTTGTCAGTAAAGCTGAAGATGTACCTGAGGTAATCATGGTAAATTATCTGGAAGCTACAGCATAAATGAATGACTCTGTGTTAATGCTGCTTTGTGTCTACGGTGTTTAATTTAACATTTATATTTATTGAATAAAAAACCTAGCACTAATTCCTGTCTTTAGAAGTTCCTGCTTTATTTACCATTTCTGCAGGATACAAGAGTCAGTATCTCACATATAATTCTATTAACCAAAATAAAATAGGCTGTATATAATTATACTATTTTGTTATGTTCAAAACTAGGTTGTTTGGGCTTGTTCTGTAAGTAAAGTACAAGCAAATACATTTTTAAAGAGAAACTCTGGCATAAATTCATAGAAAATAGTACATACAAATGATGAGATTTGTATCTTGCATGCATCAGATTGTGTGAGGAAATTCCCTGAAACACCATGGAAATGAGGGGTTTGGCTATTTTTGAAGAGCTTGCCTGCAGTGAGTTGTCTGTGCCTGGTTACTATTTCAAGAAGGGACAACTGCTTCGATATTTTAAGAAGGGACATATCCTGAATCAGAGAGAAGCACTTGTCAGGAGCCTGGGGAGCTTTCACTCATTTTGGGTTTGGAAATCTACATTGATTTTCCGCTCGCATCTCCATTCCTCTGTCTCAGCTCGAGCTCTGAAGTGGGAATCAATTTTCAAAAGTGTGGTATTGCAGCAGATGTAGACAGGACCACGTGCTAAAGGAAAAGGTACTCGTGTATTCAATTCTGCAGATAACATTAAGAGTTTCGTGCCAAAATTACATTTTCTTGGGAAGTATCTTCACAGTCAGAAAAAATTATTATGGTCTTAAGGCCCATTATACCCATTTCCACTACTCCTTAGGTTTTTTATGGTGAAGGAAAAAATGGAACAGGGAGCACAGGAAAAAATATAAGCTAAAAATACTCAGTGTTCTCCAGTCTACTTTTATTTATAAGAGTTTAAATTCTAGATTAGATATACCTGTTCTCATGCCACAATTAAGCAGAAGTTGTGTCAGCAGACTGATCTTGGAATCTGTTCTTCACAGATATGAAAAAGTAAGATGTACCTGAGAACATCTTTTAGATGTACCTGAGAACTTTCTGACAGCAAAGGCTTCTGAGAGATTCATTCTCCCCTGTCTCCTACTGAACCTGTGTTCCTTAAATAATTTGCATTAATGCAATGGAAGTTTACAAGCATGTGTTTTAAAGAATTACAGCTTTGCATTGCCATATTGAACAGGTCTGCTGCCAAGAAAAGAACTGTATGCACATGTGCCTTTATTAAATTGGGCTATTGATATAAACTCATATACATGTGAATCTTTGCCTGATTAAAACCTCGCCTGGAAAACGTTTAATAGTATCTCCATAAATTTGCATATCAAAACCACATCCCTGCAAGCACCAAACTAATGCTGCCTGCCACCTCGGACTTGGGGTATTGCTGTGACTTGACCCCAGTGCCCAAACGAAGCTTTCTCTGCAACGGGAGCGTTCACATGGACGCATGGAGATCTCCCTCGTGGATCATCTCTTCTTTAATAAACCGAGATGTCGCACCGCCTCTGCCCGGACAGCTCCATCTTCTTGGTTTTGTGGGGCGTGTAGAGAACTTAATACAGGCGATAGCTGCTGGACCTGCACCTGAGCCGGGGGCTGCAGCAGTCCCGCAGTGCCCGCAAAGGCAGGGTGACCCCGCGCGGCAGGCCGGGGCTGGGGCGATGCGGAGCTGTCCGAGCGCGGCGCGGCGCGGCGCTGCGGGGCGGGCGGCGGCCGCGGGAGCCGTGCTGGCTGCTGCCGGCGCTGCTGTGCGGCGCCGCGGGGGGGTACGTGGTGGTCAGCTCCGTGTCGTGGCCGCTGCCCGAGGCGGGGGCGGCGGCGGACGAGCTGCACAGCTCCTCCACCGAGGAGGCGCTGCCCGCGCTGCTGGAGGAGGCGGGCGGCCTCTGGAAGCAGAGCTACCCGGCCTCGGCGTACCGCGAGGATGCGGCGCTGGGCTCGGGGCCGGGGCCGCGGCGGCCGGGCCCGGGGGCCGCCCCCTCCAGGATGTTCTCCTACCGGCGGGAGGGCGGCGGGGCGCCGGGACGCGCCGGGAGCGCCCGCTTCCTCGCCCGGCACAGCACCTGGGGCTTCGTGGCGACGCGGGCCGCCCGAGGAAAGGTACGGAGCCCGCGGCGCCCGCGCCTCGCGTTACCCGGCGGACGAGCGGCGCAAAGTCCCGAGGAGAAATCGTGCTCGGAGCGCAGGGAGGGAGGATGCACGCTAAAAACCGCACCAGACAGACACCAAAAAAAAGCAAAATCTCAAGGCCGGAAGGCAGAGCTGCATCGCAGGGTTTGGAAAGGGGCTGTTTCAGGAGGATGAGGAGAAGGAGGAGAGCCTGCTGGGCTACCACAAAATCTGCCCGTCCGTCCAGGTGTACCAGCTTAAAAGGCGATTTCTCTGTCAGGAACAATGAACAAAATAGCTGGTCTGCTGTTGGGGTCATTCTTTTCTCCAGCTTTAAAGCATTTCGTTTTTTAAAGTGAAACGTTGGATGAGACACAGCATCCAGTACCACTCAGACAAAAGAGGGAAAAAAGAGAAATAAGTAAATTTAAAAAAAACCAAACCCATTCTTTCTGTTGAAAGTATTCACAGCTTAGTTATCTTATGATTTTGAATTAAATTTAGAAGCACGCAAGTCTGGCTGAGTTGGTGGGAGTTAATGTTATTGTGCAATACAAAGTAACAGATTGACAAAAAGATACTACTAAATGAATATGATTCGTAATAAAATTTGAAATTCGGGTGGTGGTGTTTGCTGCTTTGAATGCTGAACTATGCTGCCTGTGATCACAATTATTTTTGAGAATCCAGAGTAACATTAACTTTGCCTGACATTCTGACTATATTAGGCAATGGGAACATGCCCTGCAATATTACTGAGAGGGTTTTTCTTTAATTGCAACTCTTAATAATAAACAAGGATTTGTATTTTCTAAATTATGTAATATCATTAAAGCATTACTTCTAAGGAAAGCCAACAAAGGCCATTTATAGGCACTGTAAGCATTAAAACTTTAAAGGCATATAAACATTAAAAATCTGAAAGCAGGCTACCCAGGCAACAACATCATCCAGGGTTTTCTTATTATCTATTCATATTTAATTTGATTTTGTTGTAAAAGATTTAATGTATTGACAGATAATTTTACTGATTGACATTTAATAGACCATGAGGAAAAAATATCTGAAGACATGAAAAAAAGGAGCAATTAATTGAATATCTGTCATTGCTATTTATAGTGGGATGAAAAGCATAGTAGGAGTATATGTCATGCTGAAGCACATTAATGAGTGTCACAACTGGGCAAGGACATTTTTGCATGCATTATAACCACTGTGTGTACACAGGGCAGTGTATGGCAGAAAATCTTTTTGAAAACTTGGCTCCTTCGTGTCCCTTCTCTGCCATGAGGGGAGATTTTACTTTGGCTGGCTTGGTAGTTGAGACACCCCCCCACATCAGGAACTTCATGTTCCTGCCCAGGAAGCTGAGCTGATGTCCAGTTTGACTTCAAAAACAATTCTAGTTCAAATGCTTTCTTGTTTTTGCAAACCAATGCAATCACATTGCAAGTCAAAACCAAAAGAGGAGGCACTATTAGAGTAAAAAGCAGCCTGAATCAAGGCCAAATTAGGCTCTATATTTTTTTGGGTTTAAGGAAAGGTGTGAGCAGTGGTTTAGAGTAAACATTTCCTGGCATCAATGGCAGCAAAAAAAGATATTCATGCACTTAAACATTTTTAATTTGGTAGTTCCTTTAAGCTTAGTGTAAGAGAAAATGTTCCTGATAGTGTCATGGACAGGACTAGAGAGAAGAAATAGAAGCGAGATCTGTTTTCAAAGAAGCATGGTAGATCTAATTTAGAGGAGGTAGGTCTAATTTAGAAGAAATGCTCTCTCATGATGGTAACAGAAAGTGGGAGCAATGGGGCTGGCTGTCCTCTCTGCTAGAGCCCTTGAGGGAATCCCCCACCTTGAAAAACTCTGTGTGCAAAGATGTAACCAGTTGCTTATTTGGATTTTGCAGATCCAAGGTATGCCCTATGGGAACTGTTTACTTCTCAGCGATGGTCCCATCAATAACAGCACTGGAATCCCTTTCTTTTACGTGACACCAAAAGATAACACTGTGACGGATCTTCTGAAGAATCCCATGGCCTCTCTGACCCTTCCAGAGGCAGATGGAAATTTCTGCAGGTAACAGTTTTATTGCCTCTTACCTCCTTCAGTGAGAACAGAGACCTCAGAGCAGAATGCTGGGTCCCCACCTTCAATGATCTGCATTTATTTTTGGCTCTCAGAATCTCAGAAGGAGCTACATGCTCCTTCCTATATTGATTTTGTTTGTTTGTTTGTTTGTTTTCCAGTAAATTCCCCTGGTAAAGCATAGTAGAGAAAAGCAGAGGTGTCACTGAAGTACATTGTAGTATCAACAGGTGGAGTGGCTTTCAGCTTGAACATTAACATACCTAAAGTTTAATATCTTATTGGACGTGCCTACATAAAATCTAAGTGTTCAAGATCCTGTAATAGTCTATAGTTATCTAGCCAATAAAATCCATAGAGTTTTAGAGGCTATCCAATTCGCATCTTTGCTCTGCTGAAAACTCTGGAGGCCTTGCTAAATGCCTCGACAGGGCTCCAGCTCTCTGTGGTCTGTAAGAGGATCTCAGGCTCTCAGTTCACAAGTTATATGCTCAGGCCTGTGACACTCCATCTGATTTCCTCCTCTTCAGAGAATATGATGGAATGTGATATCTTTGCAATTTTTTTACAGCTTGTATATCACCAACAGTCAGTAAATGACCCTCCAAGTGGAAAAAATTCATGTCTGAGGTTTACCAATCTACATCCAATCGCCAGTGCTTCTCTGCAGAGACAGCAGTGAGTTGACTTCTTCTGAATCATGTCATAGAATCTTGGATGGCCCTTAAGGTTTCTTCCAACACAAACCATTCTGTGATTCTAAGTCCAACCCCCTGCCACAGACAGGGATACTTTCCACTATACCAGGTTGCACAAAGCTGCATCCAGCTGGCCTTGAGCACTTCCCAGGATGGAACATCCCTCAGCTTCTCTGGACAACCTGTTCCAGGGTCTCATCACCCTCACAGCAAAGAATTTCTTCCTAGCATCTAATCAAAACCTGCTCTCTTTTAGTTCAAATCCATTATCCCTGCATGCCCTTGTGAGAAGTCCCTCCCCAGCTTCCTTGCAGGCTCCCTTTAGGTACTGGAAGTTTGCTTATGAGGTCTCCCTGGAGCCTTCTCCAGGCTGAACAACCCCAACTGCTCTGCCTGTCTTTTCTGGAGAGGTGCTCCAACCCTATGATCATCTTCATGGTCTCCTCTGGACTTGCTCCAACAGCTCCATTCCATTCTCTGCATATAATGAATAACTTCAGATCCCCAAAGCTTTACATGTGTAAAATGCATGTATGTAACCTCAAAGATGATTCAATTTCCCCCTCCATTCTTGTCTCCTTGAAAAAGACATATCTCTACCATATGTTTGTTTACAGTCAATCATGTGGCACACTTGGCTGGGTCAGCCTTGTGTGAAGTGTTATTTACAAGGGCCTCTTTACGTGACGAGGTGCATGACACCGAAATTGTGTCAGACAGAACTCTGTTACCAAAGCAGGTCTTAGCTGATGTTCCAAGGAGAGAGAGCGAGAGAGGACTGGTAAGAACAAACTCCTTCAGAAAGAAATGGTATTAACAGTTTTTATTCCAACTTAAGGTCCTCTTTGGGGAAGGAGAGGTTTTATCTTTCTTAGATTTCCCCAGCTGAGGATTGCCTTGAGTATCATCCCAGCTCTCAAGCCTGCTAGCTGAGAAGAACCCTGGGAAAAGCAGGGAATGGCAAATATAAAACATCACTGTTACACTTATCTGTATTTGTCTTCAGAATATATTGTTTTCTAGGGAGTTATATGGCGGGAAAATGAAATGTTTCTTAGTCCGAAGCAGTACAGGTAATTTCAGGCTGACATCCTGTTCACAAGGAATGGAAATCATGGCTTCCTCTTACAATGTCAAACACCTAATAGGAAACTTCTATCACCAACATTTGTTAAGGTAATTCAGTCTTGAATGCTTGAGGAGGTCAATGAAGTGCTGAAGTTAACACTGGAATGGTTCTGCTTATTGCTTAGATATTTTCATTAAATATTTTGGATTAATAATTTAGAAAACAAATATATCCGTTCTTTCACTGCAGGCTTAATGGCATTTATTCCTGCTTTCTGAGCTTTTTCATTCAGTCTAATAGTAAACTTACTATCCAGACTAAGTGCTTAAAATGTATTTTAAGTCCTATGTCCTACTACTCAATGCCCTATTTTCAGAGGCCCAAGACTCAGAGAAGCTTCCATTGATGATGTGGTAATGTTGAGCACTTCTGAAAACCACACACCCACTTAGGCACTTAAAGTGTGGCCTTTGATCTCTAACTTTAAACAGCTACTCTTGAAAGTCTTTGCCTCTTATGGCCTAGCAACATCACTGCCCTATTTACCTGTTTGGGAAGTGCCAATTCACAACAAAAGAGAAATGCTGCATGATTTACAGAAATATGAAATCCATATACACCACAAACCTTTGAGGATATTTATTCGATGTCTTTTTATTACACCACTATTAATTTTCAAATCCCTACTCTTTTAATCAGTATGACAGATGTTTGCTGCTGCTTGTTTTGCAGCCAGGGAAACCTGGATTCTGTCACCTGACTCTCCAGTCCCCTCTGCAGCCTGAGACTGTGCTCTCTGGTGAGAAGAGTTCTCTGGGCCAAGAAGCTAAACGTGGATTTCCAAAACAGCTTAGTCCAAACTAATTACCATTTGCCACATCCCTACTCTCCCTCCCCACTATCAGTCATGTGCTACCCTGCCCCCCTCACTTCTGGGCTTTGCCTCAGCCTGAGCTGAAACACAAATGTGAAGAAAATGATCCTGACAGCAAGAATAAATTTTTCTGTTGATCCTTCTTCTTTTCATCCTGTGGCCAGTACTGCTCCTGGCCTTGGAATCCCACCCCCACCCTCCAGCTGACCATATGGTGGGCCTATTTTTGCTCAGTAACCCAGCGGAAACCTCTTGGGTTTTTTTTTTTTTTCTGGATGAGATTTCTACTGTCTTAGTAACTTGAATCAGCTCCTCAAGAGCCAGAGACGAGCAAAGGAGAGGGGAAAGGAAAAGAGAAGGTGGTGAAAAATAGAATATTCTCATTTTAGCAGGTAACCATACTCCAAATATTGAGCTTGCTACTGAATTGAGTACACAGGTTCAGAGTTTGATCAGTGTTCCATGCATTATTTATTTCGTTTTCACCTTCAGTTTCTTTTTCATTATTTCTGAAGTTCTCATCTAGAACAGATGTTGGTTTGCATTAGAGCAAAGGACAAGCAATACAGACAATGAAAAGTTGTGTTTTTATTTGAGCTACAATTTTTGGTTTTGATGGTATGAAAATGTGAGCAAGCTTTGAGGCTGTCTCTCAGCAAGGAAAGGTATAGGCACTGGACTTTACCTTTCTTCTCTTTCCTTCTCCTATAAGTGGGGTCAGAAATTAATGTATGTTTTAAACTAGGAAACCATGAGCGATTTTTGCATTTAAAAGCAGCACCATCTGAAATTGCAGCCCAGCACACCACTGCACTGTTACCCCACTCAAAGGGCCTCTGTGTGACACTGAAGAAAACAACAAGGTGTCAGGCCCTACTGCCAGTGCTTGGGATGGCCTGTTCCCAGGTTCAGTGTGCCCTTGGCCAGCTGAGACAGACAGGCTGTGCCATGCAAACAGCACGCAGCATCCTCAGTGCAGAGCTTTATGTGATGGCTCAAGTTTGGTATAGCAAAAGTCTTCTTTACTAGCACTACATGGGAGGCAAGACCTTTCCCTCAGTGAGACCTCAGGTCCTGCTAGTATTAAAACGGTATCTGTGAGGTTTTCTTTCAAAGGAAAGTGTCATTCTTGTCAAGACATTCTCTTCAAGTGCATCATTAATTGTTTTGGTTTCAAAATAATTATGTAAAACAGCTAAATGAGTAATGTTCTGTGTGAGAAAGTTCATGTCCTTGTATGCCGGCAATGCATTTGTAGCTTGTTTTCATGTGGAACTTCATTAGAATTCCATTATTAATGTACTCTGAGTTGCAAGAATCAAAATAAATGTGAAAGCTGATCGGTGCCTGTAGCCAATGCTCCTGGGAGTATTTGGCACTCTCCTGAAAAATGTTTCTGACCTATTGCATGCAAAAGAAATCTCTGGCCTTTAGAAAGAAAACATAGCTGACATTTCAATGTCTTCGTGTACCTAATGAGTTTCAAGTGACTTGTGTACACCAATTTGATATTAAATTTATTTAGTAGCAAATTTCATTTGTTTTGTTTCAGAACAGACTCAAGTTCCAAACCTTGACAATGAATATTTTCCCTTTCAAGGATGTGAGGAATACAGACTGGCCTTTATGGTGTTCCAGCCTCAATATTTAATCAGCTGGAGAGAAAATTTGAAAACCCTAGACTAATAAGAAAAATAACATTTAATATTGAAAGAAAGCAAGCCGAGACATATCTGACTAGGCACTAATTGCAAGACATTTTAGTATTGCAGTTACAGTTTGGATTCCTCATCTCTGACCTAGAGATTACCATTTCCCAGAGGGAGACGGGCTGCCCCTCTCTGAGAAGACTCTGATGGCCAGGATAGAGACAGCATTTGTTAGTAACTACACAGCATTTTATCTGAAGGCTGATAAATGGATAATAGAGGCAAGAAAAATTAAATGGTTCAGGGCTATAAATAGACTAAGCTGGTATGTCTGTGCCACTGACAAGCTGAAAAGATTGAGTTCCATTCCTGCAGCTTTCAGAGGGAGTAAGACCAAGCCCAACATTAAAGAATAGAGCAGCTATTGTTCTAAACACATTTCACAACACACAGGCTGCTCAGAGGATTCCTCTTTCCAAGTAAGCTCCTGAGTCTGCCTCATTACAGCTGCAGCCTGGAAAACAGGCAATTAATTTTAAATGTGTGTCACCTCCTTGACATCAGGTTCAGCACATTCACAGGGACACACTGCAGCTTTCTTAGAGAAGGAGCAGTTACTGTGGCTGCCATGAACTGGCTTTCATACAAGGGGAAAGCAGCGAGCTTTGGAGTCAGTCCACCTTTGGTTTTTTCCTGCTATT